AAACTCCTTCTTTCAGTTGTCATTTTTAAGAGCATTTGATGGACCCCAAATTATCGACTTGTCTGTTTTAGTAAATACTGTTCATCTTCTAAGCCTTCACAACCTTCTTTAAAATGCCAAGTTGTTGTAATGCAAAAAAAAATGACCTCAGTCAAACTATCTTTTAATTGTTGTTCTAAACTGAATTATGCCTATATCTTATTAAAGGTGAGAGAAAAGCTAAAATTTACACTATAGAAAAACAGAAAATGCTATAATAATCTCGTGGAATTACAATTTACATGCATAGACTAATATTTTGTTGATTTTCTGCTATCAATTGTAGTAAATCTTGGGAACCTGATATTAAGTTCAACAGGTTGTAGGATTTTCCCGACACTTGCATCCAGAGAGGTTATTAAAGACGAAAAAATTACAATTTGCAAAGGTTTCAGTCAGGAAACATACTAAAATAGTCCACAGCAGTGTACATGATGTCAAAGCAAAGTTCTTAGAGAAAACAAAATACAACAGAGGATATTACAAAACTGGAAATCCCTCCAACACCAGAAACAAGACGATTCTGGAACTGGTCAGGGAGGCTATCAAGAGGTAAAAAGTGACACTGAAGGAGTCGCAATGATGTTCAAGTCCTGGTTGTGTTTTATATGTGACAACAGTCTCCTGTATGACTAACATTTCTCGACTAAATAATTTTTTTTTTCTTTTAAAGAAAACATCCAGATCTGTCTAAAATATCCTAAAACATTTGGCAGAATGTTGACTTTTCTAAAAACATCTGAAAAAAAAAATGAAAAAAAAAAAAAAAAAATAAGAGCAAAATTGTCCGTTATTCCAGGAGTGACTCTCATAAATTATACAGATTCATTACACATAAAGGGAGTATGGGTTTTAAGCCTTTGCCTTTTGTAATTTAAAGGATTAGACTTTATCTCCATAAAAAAATAGAAATTGTGAACAAGTTAAAGCATATTCAGAGAAGGTTTAATGGAAGGGAAAAGGTTGGTAGGAAATAGATGATAGAAATAAATGCCTCTCTCCTGGGATGTCAACAGACTTAAGAGGCCTGTCAAATAAAACCCACAAAGAAATATGAATGAAGGAGTGAACTGAGGCTGGAGTCAGTGCCTCAAGAGCTGGGAGGAGTAGAAAAATCCTGCACATGGTCGACAAGCATCTTACCTGGGCTTAGGAGAAAAACCACACTATAGCTCAGTGCTCTAAAGTCCTATTTTCAGATAATAGTAAAGTTTGCATCTAATTTGGGAATCTAAGTTTAAGAGTCTAGATGTATATTGAAAGGGAAAGAATCAATATTCCTAAAGTACATTGTGACATTTCCACAGTCAGAAATGTCTTAATGCTTCCTTCTGCTGACAAACTTTATGGAGGTACTGAGCACATTTTGCAGCACCTGCCAGCAATAGCTCTATCAAGTATTTCTGACATAAAAGCAACTCATATAAAATATACCCCAGACCAGGTATTGGTCAAGTTGGTTGAAACTGTAAAAAGTTCCAAATAGCATTTAGTTTTGACCCCAACCCTTAAGTTTTCTGCTAAAAAAGCTGAAAAAAAGGAAATATGTATATTTGAGTATCACAGTTTGAGCAAATACTCAGCCAACATGAGAGTGAAGTTGAATCTTTTAAACAGCCTAGCTAGATTCCAGAACTAAGTCTGACAGAAAATGAGTGCGGCTGTGAACAGGAGATACCTTGTAAGGCAGAGTGGGAAAATTATACTATGCCAAGATGTGTTATGCAACTGCACTCATATAAAAAAAAACAAAAAAAAAAACGGAATACTAAAACCAATTCAAAACTGTCTTATCAAATAGTTTTTTAGAAGGTGTCCATACTTATGGGACATGAACATTCCAGTGTTTTATGCCAGAAGAATTATATAACATAAATAGAGTATCTGACTCTTCAAAAACAATATATCCAGATACCACTATTTTGTAGTAAAAACATCTCAGTCAAACAGCTGTCAGCAAAACTAAGTCTTTCAGTCAGATGTAAAACACCTCTGGTTATATGACCTCATGGAGCACCATCCATGTAAATGTGCTGTTAAATGATAAGAGTTGAATTACTTTCATATCTTGACATTTAAAGCAGCTGGACATTGTTGCTGTAAGGCAAGAAGGAACATTTTTAAAAGGCTTCTAAAGTTTCAAAACCTCGTCATACTTAATCAGTTAGGTTATACCATGCAGATTATGGTTTAAAAGGTGCTAATAAAGGCTCCTCAGAAGTGCATGACTGTTATGTTGCCTGGTGCCACTCCTCTAAAGTCTTGTGTATCTGAGCAACCAAGCACTAGTTGACAAGAGTGAACTATTTAGCTGAATGAGTATCGTACAGCCTTCTAAACAGAGTCCGGGTAGCTTCTACATTCTGTAGAATTATCAGGCTAGTTTTGACTGCATTGCTTCAGCTGTTAAAACAGCTTGTGATAAATAATGAATGCAGTTAAATGCTGTTTAAAGAAAACTAAACTGACTCCAGTTTAATTGCTCAAACAGTAAAGGCTTTCAACTACCTATGATGTTGAAACACAAATTTAAAATCAAACAAAATCAAAGAAGTTACAAAATTATCATGTAACTTAGAACCTGTGTTTCTTCTCAGGGTGAATCATGAAGGAATCGGGTGAAGATGCTTTCAGTAGAAAAAAGGTTGGTTGGTTGTTATTATAGAAGAGATAGATGGTACAAGACAAGCAAGGCATTTCAAACCAGCATGGGGGGATGTGGAGATTTTAATTTAAGCCCCCCCACCGAGCTAGTGAAGCAAGTGGGTCGGTGAAGGAACACAAAGCTGCTGAAATGTGAGAGATGAAAGACAGGACCGTTGTCTAGCTATGATTTTCGGGAGTGAGCCAGAGCTTTTTTTTACAGGTAAGTGTTCTGTGGAAAGAAAAGGACGAAAAGGAGCCTTTTTCAACCCTTAGAGACAAATCTGTCTGTTTAGCAATAAACACAGATAACATAAAAAGGAATTAAAAAAACTCCCAGTTTCTAAAAACTGTCATGAAGATGAATTTCTGAGAGATATTTTAGCTGATGTGGACAGAAAACAAATATTCTACAACATAAACAGATGAAGACAAAAGTTGAATTGCCTAAAACTGGACAGGAATTAATTTATATGAATTCTATTTAAAATTTTACAAACAGGATCCCGCTGACTGTTTTTTTACAACCTGGACTAACTTTCCAGAAGATGGAAATGTATTTATCCAAACAATCTTTTATTGTCCTTACATACAGTAGCGTTTGATTTTTTGAGAACCTGAGTTATAAGATTTAGTTGTTAACTAACTGAACAATCAGTAATGGGTTGGAATATATCACTCTTATGAAATAAATATATTTAATGAAACTTTTAATGAAAATTTGTTGCACAAGCCTCTGTTTAAAATATGTAGGACAACATGAACATAAAAAAACCCAAAGGACTGAGAAAATGTAAGTAAGCTTCATGTTCTAGACTACAGTTGCCGATTTATCCAAGTTCCATTTAAAATTTTACCCTCTTTGGTGTCTATCAATACGTTATTAATTATTTCTTTCTCCATTTTTTTTTTTTTTGCTATTACACTGTCAGAAGTACAGAGTAATGAAATGAACTCTCTGTATTTAACCCATCCACTTGGGGAGCAGTGGGCTGCCATTGTGCAGTGCTTGGGGAGCAGTATGCAGGGGCAGAGCTAGATGGGGGGCCAGTGGAGGCCATGGCCACCCTTAGCCCCTCATTGACCACCCCTGTGGCCAACCCTACCATTTTCTTCCCTGTGATACAGATGGTGGCAGCAGTAATACTCAGAAGTGGAATATTCAAAACATTTCAATTTTTCATATATTAACAGTTAGTTGACAACAAAAACACTGTGGTTTATTATGCACTTCAATATACTAACATTAAAAATGATAAGTACAGTATTCAGGCCCTTTTCAGAACTAGATTTTGTGAAAAGAGAAGAATGCAAGTCATCTAGGAGTCTTTGGTTAAATCATGAATAAATAAATATTTTGATAAAAAATTATATAAAATCGTTGCTCTGTACCTGTGACAGTGTAATGACGATAAAAAGTGAAAAAAGAAACAGTTCATAACATATTGATAGACAGCCAAGAAGGTAAAAAATTTTAATGGAACTATATTTATATAGTATATATAGTTTTATAAAACTATAATCAGTTAATGACTTTATTGATCTAACAGTGGAGAAATTTGCTTTATGTGGATATTAGTACTTGTAAATATCAATTTTACGCAGAATGATTATTTATAAAAGTAGGTACGTAATGACAATAGAAAAGATTTAAGATTTTATCCACTATACCTTTTATCTGGCAAGCATGGATGTTTAAATATATGCATCTATTTGTTAGCAAAGGCTTATGGAATAGTTAATCTTTATTTAGAAAATATGGATGCTTTGCTCGTTAATTTTCCTGTTGGAAGAGTGTAGATTGACTCTGAGGTTCTGGCACCTATGCACTTTTGGTCACCCCTCAGTGTACATTGGTTAATGCCTGGCCACCCTTATAAAAATGTTCTGGCTACGCCTCTGGCTACGCCTCTGGCAGTGTGGGAGTTAAGGGTCTTTGCTCAGGGAGCAAGAGTGGCAGTGGGTTTCAAACTCACAGTCTCAGGATTCCAAGCTTATACCCTAACCACTAGGCCACTACCTGCAAAGTGTGTTGTCCTTCATGTAGAATATTACTGAAATATGTGGGGGTATATTAAATGAGGGTTAATCTTAGGAATCTAATAGAGTATTGTAAACTGAGCAAAGTTATGGGCTTCAACTCTTGCAAGGAAATATCTCACGGAGGCTGCCCAAAGTCTGCTGTTTCAACCTGAGAAAATTAGAGGACTTTGAGGTGGAAAAAAACTGGTTATCATATTCTAGGTTGTGAGTTGATAGGAGGAGCGGCAGCGTGAAAAAGAGCATGCTTAACGAGGACTACATGACGGCTGGAGAGGGAGGATCGCTGCCACATACAGCGTGTCTGGATCAGATGAGCGGGGGTCACCCAGGATTCCCTTGAAACTGCTCTCCGGGGGGAAAACAAACAGGATTAGACGAGAAAGATTTCATTCTAGCCTCGTTTACTGGGGTAAAATCCACGTTATCGCTGCTTTTGGCGCAGCTGCTGCTTGACAGAAGCTCACTCTGTCATCGATTTTTTTGTTCTTCTTTTTTTTCCTTTCTCATTTTTCGTTTCTTTTCTTTTTTGTCAACATGCCGAACGAGGGGAGGAAAGTGAGCGGAATACTATCAGGAACAGACTCTTTGAATGAACGAGATTCGTTTTAAAAATCCAATAAAACCTAAATTAATTTGGATTGTTTTTTCATTTCTAAATTATATTATTGGTAAAGCTACCGAAAACGAAAAAAAAAAAAAACTCGGCAATGCGTTTCGATTACCTCTTTTGTTTTAGTACAATTTAAATGAATATCTGGCTGGTCGATGCGAGAACGCAGACAGCTGAGCTCAACAGGCGGTAAAGTAAAAGTTTTGCATGTATTATTCTCTCTCAATCAGTCTTTGTTTCATTTTTTGCTTACAAAAAGCCGATGTAAGGCTATGCATTGAACCCAAAGGCCAATTTTGTATCTGTCTCCTGGATACACGCCCCGCTCTTATTATTAAAAACAAAAACGTTTGTTGAAGGAGAACTTTGTGCTGCGTGTTTTTCCAACAGTCACCTGCTTGATATTTTCTCCAAAATATCAAGAACTGTAGCCCACGGTCTGTCAAAACTCCGGAGAGCGAGGCTCTATGAAGATCGCGACACGGTTGTTGCTTTCCCCTCGCAGAAATGCCAGTGCGCGCCGTGACCACCAGGTTCATGTACAAGGGGCTTTGCACTATTCCAGATGTCCTTTCCTACCGGACCCCTGTTCACCTGCCCGACGACGAGGTGGAAGGTGAGCGTTGGTGTATGTTTCGTATGATTTTGGAGGTGTTTGATGATTTCTACCTTTTGTTGATGTCTGTGTAAATCCATGAGGCTTTCAGCACCCTGGAGAGCTCTCCAGGGAGATGCCGGCACCCTGGAGAGCTCCCCGGGCTTTGCCTTATCTTTCTTTGTATGAAATTCTATAAAAATACAATTTTATTTATCTCATTTTAAAGAGTGAAAGTTTAAGGTGGAAGCCAAAGTTGCTTTGAGGAATTGTGCACATTTTTAAGGCAATACTGGCAAATTGCATGGGTTAAATAATGAATCAATTTAGCCACTATCTTAGCCAATTAAAGAAAATATAATTTATCTTCTGAAAATTGGTTTACCCGGGCAACTTTTAATTGCATCTGTTGTGGTTGTAAATGATTTGCACCTATTTCAAGAGAAAAAAACATAGAAAATTAGAAGAAGTTTCGTTTAGTTGTGCCTTTGAATAATTAAAATCTTCTGCTTAGTCTGGATGCACCGACAAACCTTGCAGAAAGTATTACTGGGTACTTCTCATTTCACCAAGTACCTTCATTATCACATTTTGACTAAACAAACTTAACAGAAAAGCAACAATGTCACACCAAAATGGCTTCTGAAAATATCTGCTGAGCTAGAAACTGCTATTGTAGTCAAGGTGTATTTTTGTTAGGGGTAGAGGTTTTGTTTTGCCAAATTGCTCTCAGAATGAGAAGGCACAGCTGGCAGGGAATGGGAACAAAGCCAAGTAGACTGCAATAAAGAGATTCACAGGATAAGATTAGATATCACTTAGTCTTTTTTTTTCCATTTCCTCTCTTCTTCATCTATTTCTATTGTCTACAGGTTGCCCACACATTAAAGCTTGCCCTTGCTTTGAGCCATTCCTTTGACATTGAAAATCCACAAACTGCAGTGGTGACATAAATTAATTTAAACAACTGGATTTGTGGACAAGAAATAATTAAAAGAAGAAGAAAAGAGAAAGCTTTCCATGTTATGTAGAGTTAAATTAACAGAACAAAGAGAGACAGATCAGTCAACCCTTAATTCATTTAACAACTAAATGTTAATTGCTAGACTAATGTGGGTTCATCTCTCAGAACAAACGGCAGTTTTTTATTTGTTAGATAGCACCTCACTCATTGTAGCTGAGGGAAACCTGAAGGTTTCATTTTAACCCTCTCCCCTGAACATATCCAGGATCAGTCTGAGAGTATGAATCTGTGAGCTCCTACATGCCCTTTGATGCCTCTCCTGCGCCACCTCAACACACTCTGCAGTAGCGGTGTCCAAATTAATATTGTCAGTGGTGCTTTTTTTTCTTTCCCAAAGATAATTCCCCTATTCTACTATAAAAATAATAATGAAAAAATGTGATATATAAATATTATTCTAGCCACACAATCTGTAATTAATGCAGGGCAGAAGCTCACTGATTGCTCATCTCATGTAATTACTCCTCTAATCATATTTAGGAGAACTGCTCTGAAAGGTTCTGGTAGATATTCCCAGACAAATTTAACAAATTTAGATTCAGTCAGGCAGCTCTACATCCTAAAACTGATTACAACAAACTGATAGCTAGCAAATAAATACTCTCATTAGTTAAACCCCGTTAATGCTGGTAATATTTCCAAATCAAAATTACCGTTTTAGTTTGGTTGCTTGTAAAACAATCTGTTGCCACAACCTTCCAATATTCTTCAAAAATGTATGCCTTAGCAGCACACCTTCCATCAACAAAATGTATATTCTTACTGTATATGAATAATTTATACACAGACAGTGACGTGTGATTAAATCAGCGGGAATTTCTCTCTGTGACATTGTGGAAGGGACACGTGGAAAATAAAGCCCATACTGACAACACAACACAAGGACAAAGGGACCTTGCATCTTGTCCAAAGACATATCTTTGATATTAATCAGTGTATAGCACAAATTGCCTGACATAAACAATGTCCAGAGATACATTTTAGCTTTAGGTAAAGAATGTAAATTATTTTAACCGTGGAACAGCAGTAATTGATGCCGTTTATACTGAGATGAACAGAATATGATTTACCAACAGATCCAACATATATACCAACAGATCCAACATATATATATATATATATATATATATATATATATATATATATATATATATATATATATATATATAGATATATACCTGCATGGTGAAGCGAAGGTATAACTAAACAAAAGAAGAACAGTTTATATATAAAAGCTGCGTTATATTTTTTTTTATGCTCTCCATATGCATGGATGTGTCAGAGAACTTTGTCTCCCTTTCAAATGGATGTGATTTTTACTTGTTAGCGTAAAAACCCCCTTAGTTCCAATGTGGGTGTGCACTATGAAGGATTTACGAAAAGAAAATGCATGGATGGATAACTGGTTGTTTATATGGAGAAAGTACACCCTCTGTTATTTTTTTCCATTTTACCATATAAAATACCTGGTCTTTAGCTGGTTCTAAAATCCATTTTCCGTCACGTTTATCCCTGCTGTGGTCCTGATGGCTGCTGTTGCTTATCTCCAGCTGTCAGTGGGCAAGAGGCAGGTTACACGAAACAGACAAACAAGATAAACAACTGTTCACACACACACTCACACCTAAGGAGAATTTAGGGAAGCCAATTAACCACCAGCTTCCTCCCACATTTCAAAAACTATGGGAGGAAGCCGGAGTACCCAGAGAGAGCCCACACATGCACAGGGAGAACATGCTCCATACAGAAAGACCCCGAGAATCAAAGCGGGAACCTTCTTGCTGCAAGGCAGCAGCGTCACCCACTGCGCTCCTGTGCAGCCTGGTTCTAAAATCCTTTAACCAGAAAAGATGGTCTGTAAATCGACTATGGCATCATTTTCTAATGACCCTGAAACTATTAACGGAAAATTGTTTGCCACCCAAAGACTCACACAGACATCTGAAATATGTGAAATCAAAAAATTAAAAGAGGATTGATGAGGGCTTTGTTCGGTTTTCTTGGATAATAAATCCTAAAGCTTCTTTCTGCCTCTAACCTGATAGCTTGTTTCTTTCATTAGACGATATGTTAGCTTTAGGCATTAGGTGTGAAAGAGAGGTTATAGGTATTGAGACAAAATAATAAAAAAAAGTCCTTCAATGTACAGCTTAATAATGTTATAATAAACTTGAGCTTTTGCTTTTTTAATTTAGACTGCTTTATCAAAGCCAGAATTCCTCACCAATTTTATGTAATATGGTTAGAGCTATGAAGTATCTTTTGAGACTCAACAGATCCATATGTACTCAAAAGGGAGTGTAGGAGCCTAAATTCAGTTTAAGTGAAGATAAAAGGAATCATTATAAGTTACAGTATTTTTTTTATTAAATAGTTTTACCTAATGGAAATGATCATGTTTGTTTGTTTGTTTGTTTGTTTGTTTGTTTGTTTGTTTGTTTGTTTGTTTGTTTGTTTGTTTGTTTGGCCATCAATTGAATTACAGAAGGGAGAGGAGCGTCAAGCTTATGGCTTCATTACTTAGGAATCTACAGGGGGAGGTTTGTTAGTTGTGCAAAATAGATTTTTTTAACTTCCATATCACAAAAGGGAAAAAAAAAGTAGGGCATTAAAGTTGACATTTAAATCTAATTTCCCTTCAAAAACTGCAAAAAAAAAAATTTTTTAGTTACTGGAAGGTTTTTATTATCTAATTTGACTTTTATTTATGTTTTTAACTCAAACTCTCAAAGAGATTAATTGAAATTAGTAACACAGAGTTCACTTTCAGTGAGATGTTTTTTTGTTTTTGTGATGTTTATGAAAGTACTTGCTGAAATATTGTTTTAAGGGCAATTTGAATAAAAAATCAGTTTAGCCTGTGTTACTATGCTAATCTAATGCAGTGACAGAGATTTGCCTTTGTTAAATAAAAATTCAGCCACAAATCTCTCTTACAGACATTCAGTTCTTTGATAAGGGTAAGGTTAAGGGTAAATTGATTGCTTTAAGCTAAGATTAAAAATAAAATAATACAATTATTGAAAATATTTACTTCTTTCCTCAAGCTTTTTTTATGAGCCTAATTCCTAAAGCTAAGAAGCTAGCAGGGTATCTGGATTTTGGTAGGAATGGTGTTGTTGGTGTATGTTCTGTTATATCCTTTTAATCAAACTGCTCAATGTTTGCTGATTTATTCCTGCTTTTCTTTCACATAATTTCCTCCTCTGCCATGCTCCCTGACAGATCCTTGTGTAATTCCTTCTGTTTGGTTTGGGCCCATTTAATCAGCGAGGACAGCTTCTCACTTGAGATTTTTTGTACTGAATGTATTTTTTTTTCTCAATTAAGTTGTTAATTAAAGGTATTTGGTTTCCCCCTTGGCCGCCCTAGGGAGTAATGTATTTAGCACATGTTTCTTCACCTTGACACAGCAGAGCAGGCTTATTCACAACTTGAAAATCCCATTGCTGTCACTTTTTTTGTTTTTTTTTTTAAATAAACAAATGTCTAATAAAAAGTGTTCTTTGAGTTGAAAGCTTCACCTTGAATCCTCCATTCTGGCTTTTTGTTATGGTATTTGAATGGCTCAACATTTGCTTTGTGTTATTCAGGGGGCATTCTGCTTCTTTCTGCTTCTGATCAGCCGCAGTCTCTAGTTGACCTTGAAGATTTCAGAGCAGGTGTTTTTTTTGTTTTGTTTTGTCTTGGTCAGCATGCTTTCAGGTGATGTAAACCATGCTTTATCAGACACTAATGTTCCAGTATCCTCTGGGATCCCAAAGTTGTTCTTAAACACCTTATTTAATTTCCTTTAATATGAATGGAGCTATTTGGGTGAGAAGATTACACTTTGTTTCCTAAAACCTCTCAGAATGGTTAAAGTCTCCAATTAATTGACAAAATCTTAAAAAAAAAAAAAAAGCCATAATATCAACCCTATAGGAAGGCAATAATTTAACCTTGAATGATGTGACAGGAAAGCAGCAATTGTCATGTTGGTGTGTATTTTTTTAAA